ATCGCCAGATCTGTCAGTCACGTGTGGCTGTGACTGGGCTTTTTAAACTTGTAGAGTTTTAGGTAAATATCAGCTTTTGTCATTGCCACCACAATGGTCCTCATCTCACCAACAATAGAAAGCATATGTGTCTGGAAAAAAAATAAGGAAAAAGATATGCCTTAAAGGGAAATTTCGGAGACGCACTGTAGTCATTAAAACAGTCAAATTTAGAAAGTGAAGGAATGTCACTCTCTCTACTTAGCCCACCCAAGGAAGTATTCTTGAGGTAATTGGTGACAGGCTTCAATACCTTTTTGGGGAGGAGCGGTATCCTTGTGGCTGTGTAGTTATAGCATCCCTAGCTGTTTTCATCTGAAGCAATTTTGCCCTTCTCACAACATTTATTTATATCTCTATTTATTTATCTCTATGTATCTATCTACCTACCTACTTATCATCTATCACCATTTCAAAGTAAGTTGCAGAAATCATCATACTTCACCCTACATTTCAACATGTAGCTCCTAAAAATAAGGATATTTTCAAACACAACCACAATGCCAATAACATACTTAAGAAATTAACATTAACCTATTGTCTAATATAAAGTTCATATTAAAATTTTTCTAACTTTGCCCCAAATCCTTTAGAGTTATTTTATTGATCCAGAATTCAATCGACCCACGTGTTGCATTTGAATGGCATGTCTCTTTAATCTCCTTTAACCTAAACAGTCTTTGATAACATTGACGGTTTTGAGGAACTCAGGAAAGTTGTCTTGAATAATGTCTCATCATCCAGAATTTTTACTTTGTAAAGGTTGGATTGAGGCTAAATATTTAGCAAGGCTATACATGGGTTATATTGTATATGTCCTACATCATATCAGATGGCACATGTCAGTTTGTCCCATTATTGGTGATGCTAAATGTCATCACTTGGACTAAGATGGTTTCCAGCAGACCTCTCCATTGTAAAGTTACCTTTTCTCCCTTGTACTTAAGTCATCTGTGAGGTGATCTTTTGATACTCCTTGCAATACTTTTAAGCATACCATAATTACAATCATTTTTAAAATATAAATAAAAACTGTTAAGAGTGATGACAGGCTTCATAAAGAAAAACAACAACAATAGAATCAGAAATTATTCAACTTAAAGAAGAAAAAAGGGGAAAGAAAGCAACATGATCACACGAGACTTGCTTTCCTTCAGCAATTCAGCTACAGTTTCAATAAAAATTCTAGCATTAAATAAGCAAAGTGATGGAGAAAGAGAATAGGTGAGGATAGCATTGCAAGAGAGAGAAGCTCTTTAAGGGTAGTACTTGGCAATGATATTTGCATCCCAGAATAGGCCTAAGGTAAAATTCTGATAGAGAGTAAAAGAGGAATTTATTCATCTCCTTTGGGTTTGCATCCTCCTATGCAACACACTGGTATGGAATCTTCCTTCTCTTATCTTCAGGCAGACTTATGGACCCTGTCTTCTATGCTTACATTGTGCTTCAGTCAGACCCAACATGGTGCTGGTATCTGCACTGAAATCCCTAACACGTGTGTCTCTCCTATCCTTCCTAGGATCCTGTGAGCCCTGTGAGGGCTGAGTCTCTGCATTCAGGTGTCCCTAAAACCCAGCACAGTGGCAGGCACAGAAAAGGTGCCTGGGAAATGTTTAAAGAATGGAACAGTACACGACAGTTCTTTCGACAAATCCTTTGTCTTCTGACTTTACCTTGTGAGTAAGAGGTACAGCTGGCATTCAAACCAAAGCATTCTTGCTCCAGAGTCCATGTTCCTAACCACTATACATGGAATAGTTCCCTTGGCTTTTGATCTCAACATGCTTGGGCTTATTATAGAAGATAAAGTCCTTAGAACATGCTTGGGCTTATTATAGAAGATAAAGTCCTTAGCCTTTAGCTAGGCATTAAAAGCCTTCTCCAGATAGTCTCAATCTAGTTCTCCAATCTTAATTCCTAATATTTGCTACTGCCTGTATGGGTGCTTCACTTCAATGCTTTTATTCCCTGTTATGTCAAAATCACCCTCATCAGAAATGACCTCACTATTTTCTTCCTATTTCCAAATCTAAATTAGCATAATTTTAAAGACTTACTCAAAGGCTAACTACTCCATAAACACTTTCCCATTCCTGCCTCTGGATGTCCTCTCTCCTTTTTCTGAATTCTCAAAGAATACTGGCTGAAGTTTAAGTCACTTGTCACTTTCCGTCTTGTGTTATGATAAAACACAGTAACTCTACACACATCCCCTATTAGACTGTAAGAACCTTTAAAGGTCAGACCCATTTCTACCCCAATACCACTGAGTAGGCTGCACATAATAGACACTTGGATGTTTACCGCACAAAGTAAATTTTCCTTGAATAACCCTAGCCTAAACTTATATTTTGTTTGTTCTATCTACTTACAAGAAAATAACCATCCCTTATTTTCCATCTGTCTAAAGACAACTTCCTTCATAAACCCCTTCCTAAATATGCAGTCTGGCTAGTTCACCCTATTTCCTACAGTGTGGGGTTCAAATGTATAGACCTGGAGCCTAGATTCTAATCCAGTCCTGCAACTTATTAGCTGTTGATATTGGGCAGATTACCTAACATTTCTGTACCTTAAATTCCTAATCTGGAAATGATAATAGCATCTACTTCACAGGGTTATGTCTTTCTATGAGGATGAAATGAGTTAATTCCTGTAAAGTACATAAAACAGTACTGCCCTATCATAAGCACTCAATAAATGTTATCCATTTTTCCAAATTCTTTCTCATAGTTAGTAATTCCCATTTGGAAATGATTATTTACCAATTGGTGACATATGTTTTATTGTTGCTAGAAACTTAAATTTAAGTCAAGTATTAATACATTTTTAATGGGCATATCTTATTTTCTTAAATAAATTGTAAACCCCAAGAGCATTGAATAATTTTGATTACTGAGTACATTCTACATGCCAAGAACTTAGCTAAGTGCTTTCTATAAATATTTCATTCATTACTCATAATAACAGTATAAGCTAGCTATTATTCCCATATTATAGATAAAACAACAAAATTTAATGTTTAGAGAAAGTAATTTGTTCAAGTTTTTTAAGCTAGTAGGTAGTAGAGCTGTGACAGTTCTTGAAAGCGACGATAATGATTTATATCTATTTCCTAGAGTGTTCAATATATATGCATTTACACTATCACTATCTATGTCCAATTTTCTTTATTGCTATATGTTTTGTTGCTATGGTATTTGAAGCATATATACTTGGTAAGTTAGCCTTTCATTTTTAATATATCTTAATAAAGAGACCTTATTGTTCACCTTTAATATGCTTTGTTTTTTCTTAAGTATACCTTAGACCCCAATATAAACCCTCCTCTTATTGTAATGTCAAGAGCATGATACACTTTTAGTCTATTTTAATACTGCTAGAGACCTTTGTGGGTTTTCTGTTTTGTTTTATTTCACTATTCTCCATGCATTTGTGCTAATCTCCATCAACTTATATTTAGCTTTAAAGTTACACTTCTTTGCATTAATGCTGTTTCTATAGTTAAGCTACTAGTGTTGAAAGAAATGCTGAAGAACATTTGCTCCACACATTTGATTTACCAAGGTGGGAAATGGGGCTCAGGCAGATGAGGACAAGGCAGTATTGCTTAGCCAGCCAGAGGCAGAGAAGGGGCTAGAACCGAACTTCTTATTTCTACCCTTGGGCTCTTTTAGCTAAGCCACACTGCCACCTGCACACAAATAGATGCCTTGCTTTTCATATAATAATACCTCACATTCCACCTACTGTGTGGATTTAGACCAGTGCCCTTAGTTTACCTGTCATTACACATTCCCAAACAGGAAGCAAAAGGAAAGATGGGAAAATAGGAAATATTTGAAGAAGCAAAGGTCCTGATGCAATTTTTCCAACTCTGTGCCTTTACTCACACTGCTCCCTAAATGTCTTTCCTTTACGTGTGCTTAAAGCAGTGCTGCTCAAAGAGTAGTCCGCGGATGGGTGTCAGACCAAAAAAACTTTATCATCCCATGATGAGACATGTATAGAAATGAGTATTTAGAAACTATTATAACAATTTAAAAGAGTAATTTGTTAACTGTTAAATCTGATAATAAAACTCAGTCTTCCATTTTATATTTTTTAATTTCCCTAGCAATTTTAATTGGACTGTACAAAAATATTGGTCTCCAACATATTGAGGGGAAAATGGTCTTTTACCACAGAAAAGTTCATTTTCTTTTACCACAGAAAATTTGACAGGTACTAGTTTAAAGGGTCCCGGTTCAAGTGCCAAAAATTCTTTAATAAACATTCCTGATATTCCTGATAAATAGAGCTTTAAAAATTTATAACATTTGATCTCAACCTTCTAATGCCTCTTGTCACTTCCTACCTAGAATAGTAATTTGTGTGTTTGTCTCATCTCTTCTGAACAATTACAACCTCCCCGAGGGGCAAGTTATGTGTCCAAAGCACCTCACAACTGGCATATAATTCATGAATTTGCATCACACTAATAGACTGGAAGGATTAACCCATAGCTATTCGCAGGTTTGGAGAGAAGAGGAGTTAAAAATACAAAGGGAACATATATTTTCCAAACTCAGGGAAAGGATTGAGGGTGCAGAGTTTAGTCAATACCTAATTCCAAATTCTGTACAAGTATAGTCCAGTGAGAAACATGAACATACACAGAAACCTGATTTCTGCCTAAAAGGAAGCTAATAAGTTGTCAAAAATTAAGTCTTAAAATCAAATTTGTATCTCAAGAAACTCTAAAGACCACTGAGATTTCAGTGCAAGCTAAGCAGAGATCACACGTATGGCAGTCTCAGTGCAGTTCCCAGAACGGCTCAGCTGTGTGTGCAAGCGCCCTAACTCCCACACATCGGATTCAAATACCTCACCAGCGCAGCTGATAACACTCCTAATTACTACGTAAGGAAAGCAGAACAGGACATTTACTGTGCAAGTCAGCTCTAGACTCCACTCACCAAAGTATTCATCAGCTGGTGGATTTTCCATGTCGTACAGCATCTTTTTGGTCAGGTGCTCAAGCTCATCTTCTGGACGGAATGAAGGGGGAACAGATGAAGGCCCCATCGACACTGTATGTCCACCCTGAAAGGCAGAAAGCACAGAGTCCTTTCATTACAATCAAGATCATCAGCCAAGGTGGTCAGCCTAAACAAGTAGTGTTTGCATTGGAGAGGAAAAAGCACTGGACTTGGCTATTCGGAGACCTGGGTTTTAGAATTAGTTTTATCACTTATTCCGTGTCTGACCTTGTACACATCAGTTTATTCACCTGCCTTATCTGGATGAGTAATCTATCAGGCTTTAGAAACCATGTTTACAACAGTAGCACTCTATTTTGTTCAACAATTGCTAAACAATCACTATATACTAGTTGTATATTAATAAGAAAGATGAATAAATTGAGCATTTCTTCCCTAGGAATCTTAGTCAAACAGAAGATACAGGCACATTAATGATTAAGGACAAACCAGCTGCAGAAAGTATGCAATCAGGGTAGAAGAAGGGACATCACACACAACCTGAGAAGACTTCCTGTAGAGAAGCAGCAGAGCACACTAGAACTCATTCAGCTATAGGAGAGGAAATATACAGGTAGAAGTTCCTGGCAGTTGTGTATTTCTGAAACACATATAAAGTTTGAGATAAGAAATGAGATGAATCTTATCAGGTACAGTGGTCCAGAAAGAGAAGGCCCTTTTATTCCAGTGGAGGAAGTTGAGTAATTTTTTTCCTAGCACTGCAAACAGCCAGATATCAAAGGGGGACAAGAAGTCAGTAGCATTGGCACTGGGCTGGTGTTTAAATAGGTGGGTGAGCCAGGGGTATAGCAATGTAAGAGAAGCAAGCTTCAGAAGAGAGAGTACTTGAGATAACCAACCAGGAATCCAAAGTGTGTAGAGAGAGAAGAAAGGCCAGATGCTAGATGTAAAATAGCTTTGTGCTATATAAATAAGAGAATTTATTCTATTTTCCTTTGCCTATATTATGACATTGACAGTTTCTGATACCACGCCCAAGCATCCTTAATCGAAGTGTTATAAAAACAGAGATGATGATGACTTCCACCATGACTAATGGGCAGAGATGTACATTGGAAATGCCCCTGCCTTGATGTTTATCCATTCTTGAAATAGTTGGCCAAGAGTTTCTGTTTTCTGAATAGTTTACAAGTATCTGTTCAATGAAACTGAAAGCTACATATTCACTGTCCCATTGTCTTCACTATACCAAATAAGTTCTCAGATGTAAAAGTCCTGTAAAGTACAAATCCTTGTACAAATGTTGTCATTCTAACTACCAATATTTATTTCAACAACTCCGAGGTGCATATTAGACATTTCTATGATGTCTGAGGTATGAGATACCACATAAACATATGTGGGAATATTGATTTGTAACTGTTTTGCATTTTCTCTACAATAATTTTCCATTTTTCAATATTCTAAAACGTATAGAAAGTAGAGCACAAATATGCAGAAGGCTAAAAGGGCCAATAACCTTTTATCTTGTTTACTAACCTTACCTTGGAATTTGATTTCATTGTTGGACAATCTGTGTGAGAGATTGGAAACTAGTGAATGAATTGTCAAGTGATAGAGACAAAAAACTGAGCTGCATGCCTGGATCTAATAAATCGTATGCCAATCTCCTCATTGTGAGACTGGGAAATTGAGACCCCAAAAGATAAGGCAGTTATGGTAAAGTCAGGAAAAGAGCCCATCCTAGACTCACTCATTTATCCAATAAACATTGAATGTTAAACTTATGGCCTCCTCTGAACTGCAGACATTACTTGTCCTATTAGGTTGGTGTGAGCGTTAAAAGAGCTATTGAATCACTCATCTATTCTTTTGCTTGTTAGTTTACCCACTTATTCTTACAGTGTCTATTTTGTGTACACTCTGCAAGCATCAGGGAGGGACACAAAGATGTATCAGACATAATCTTTACCTTTGAGAGGACTGCAGTATAGTGGACGTGAGAACCACACACGGATGACTTTAAAAAGCATAGCTTCTGGTGGGAATGTTTATAGATATGAAATTGAATGAGTTATTTGTCAGTATTAAACCTTAAACTGTACACATGCTATCCACTTTTAGAAAAATTTTACAAAAATACTCATACAAATAAATAAAATTATGATTGAAGCTGGCTACAGGAGCTATATTTGAAAGGAGGAATAAAAAGTAACAATGTAACTTCCCATCAAAAGGATCACCTAAGTAGACAATATATGCATTGTAAATCCCTACATAGAAGCATGCAAAGATGACCAAGACATGTTAACAAATTAACAAATCCAGCCGCAGAACAGGTTACCTAAATTATGGCCCCATTTTGGTAAAGTAAGTAGTTTAATTGTCTACAGAGCTATATAGAGACAGGAAAAAAGTCTGAAAGGACATATACTAAAGTGTTAAAGAAGATTATCTCTGTGGGAGGAATCCTAGTGGGCTTTTACGTTCTAAATTTATGTTTCTTTATTTTACAAGATGAAGTAGTTCTACTTTTGTAATCCATGAAATATAACATTTTCCACATGATGACTTCAAGTGATAAAGACATGCTAGACATCACATGTCTAACCTTGGTCAAGTGGGGAACTCAGAGAAGCAAAAGGTCAGAGCTGAGAGGCAGCTGGTGTCAGTGGGAAAAACCACAGGTGGTTCAGAGTTTAAGCCTGGCGAGGTAGCGAGATAGGAGGGTCAGCTCATCGCTGCCATGCCATGTGTTGGACTTCTCCCTGAGCCAGGGACTCCAGGCCTCAGGTGGGACCACGGACAAGTCTCAAAATATGATCAGCTGAACTTCCTTTGGCAGAAAATGGCACCCATAAAAATGCACACTAAATTTACTTACAATTTCAAAAGCTCACAGACCACAGAGAATGTATCTAAAGATCTTCAGGTAGGAACATCTAGGCAATAGATACAGCAGTAGGAATTTTTAGCAGGGGAGTGACCTAATCAGATTTAGACAGTTCTCTCAAGGGGAGGGTGGATGGGAGAGCTGTGAAACTGGAATGACATGGGGAGTTTATCATAATATATTTGTGACAAGAGATAGTAAAGGGATATATTATGTGGCAGTAGCATTATGCTAGAGAGAGTTAACTATGACACAAACTTGTCATCCTTAGGTAAGCTTGTCACCCTTTCATAACTTCCCTCTGTACAATGTGCTTGCCAGTGTTCCCTCAACTGTTTGTGAGAATTAAAGAGAGATAACCTGCATCTCATGTTATATAGAGCTTAATTACTTTCACAACATTGCAACAAAGGGGCTCTTTTCAAATCTCTCAACCTGCCTCTGAGGAATCAAATTGAAAACAAGGACGGAAAAGTGACCTACCCTTTTCTCCAAGCTTGCTATAAAGGGAGAGACTAACCCAAAATATGGTGTCATCTGATTCCAAATTCAATGCATTTTTTCCCAACTAAACATTGCTTCCCATAGAGAAATTGCTAGAAAAGTATGAAATATTACCTCTAATAATAATGGTGCTTGCTGTTTTTACTAAGCCAACTATTAAAGAAAACCTGATAATCCCTGCTTTCAGTCCTAGGGTGGACCCTCAGGGAATGGAATTTATCATTGTCTGCGATTGATACCTGCTTTCCTTTCAACATAAACAAGGGCAGCTAGAAGGCCAAGTCAGTCGTCTATAAATCTAAGCCAGAAATTAGATTCTATCCTTAACATGTACATTAGAAGTAGAAGTCTAATTTCAAAGTACTTACCTTGTCAGTGTTTCACAGATTTTAAGATAAATATATTACTTTACTCCCCAAATACTTACTATTTGTTTGCCATACTCTTTCTGAAATAACAAATTTGGAAAGCCTCTATCCTTTTAGACCCTTCTCTTTTATATAGTGCTAATCATGAAGTCTTGGAATTTCTTAGGAGGACAGGCCCCAAGAGATCATTTCTTCAAGTGTTTCTGAACTTCATTTGGCTAACTGCCCATCCCCAGCCCCTCTCCCAAACACCCAGTGCACAATACTTAACACTGGTGGAATACCAATAAACGCAAGGTTCCTTCCTCAGTTAAGAGTTCTCTCCCACAGCAAGGAAGACAGACAAGGGCTTTCTTTCAGTGTTCAAGTCCTGTAAACTGTAGTTTAGTACTTTTCTCACTCTGATACACAGAGACCCCCTCTAATTTCTCTCTCCCAGTAATGTTTAGGATTCAACACGTCCTAAGAAAAATCAACAAGTTGTTTTTTAATAAGCAACTTCTAGCATAGTGTATGCATAATAACACAGAATTGAAAATTAGGTGTGGGAGGGCACACTGGAAGGGGATCATTTGTATTGTTTTATTTTTTATTTATTAAAAAGCTGAAGTGTGAATAGCATCCACAGCATATTCACTGTGGCATAATAATTCCTCATATTTGCATGACACTTTTCACGTGCCTATTTCACATGTACGTAATTTCAAACATTGATACTGCAGCACTGTATTAAATGTAATCTCATTTTATGGATGAAGAAATTGAGGCTCAAGAAGGTGAGTGAGCAACCCCGTGTGGAATGCCACTGCTGAGAAATGGTACAACCCTGACTGCAGCCCAGGCGTGCTGAGTTGGGCATGTTTCTGCTACACTGCAATGCTTCTCAGGGTTCTGATGGGGCTATGTCCAAACCCTTCTAGCTCTACTGTTCTGCAGTAACATGGATTTTAATCTACTAATTCTATTATCTTAGCAAAGGTTTTTTTGTTTTGTTTTGTTTTGTTTTTTTCTCAGAGTGGAGGTTTACTGCTAAATAACAAAACAAAGTCATTGTGAAACAAATGTAAGCAAAGTTCCCAGGCTTTTCTTAAAAAAAAAAAAAAAAAAAAGACATTCTTATAAGTATCAATATTGATCACTAATATGAATAGTCTTTGAACTTCCTGAACCTCTTAGTAAAGGCAAAATAACATTATATGATCCACAGGTGAGTTATCAAGTAATAGATTTCAGAGTATTCCTTCAAAATTTTCTTAACATACCCTTTCTAAGGCATTGCCAGGTGCCAAGAACTATAATTATAAAGTCAAGTTATTCAGAGTTCCTGCCTCTGACAAC